TCCTGGTGGACAGCAGGATGACCATGAGCCCACACTGTGCCCTTGTGGCCAGGAAGGTCAGTGGCATCCTGGGGTGTATTAGAAGGGGGGTGGTTAGTAGGTCACGAGAGGTTCTCCTTCCTCTCTACTCTGCACTGGTGAGACCACATCTGGAACATTGTGTCCAGTTCTGGGCCCCTCAGTTTAAGAAGGATAAGGAGCTGCTGGAGAGAGTCCAGCATAGAGCAACCAAGATGATTAAGGGAGTGGAGCATCTCCCTTATGAGGAAAGGCTGAGGGAGCTGGGTCTCTTTAGTTTGGAGGAGACTGAGGGGTGACCTAATTAATGTTTATAAATATGTAAGGGGTGAGTGTCACAAGGATGGAGCAAGGCTCTTCTTGGTGACAACCAATGGTAGGACGAGGGGTAATGGGTTTAAACTGGAACACAAGAGGTTCCACCTAAATTTGAGAAGAAACTTCTTCTTAGTAAGGGTAACAGAACACTGGAACAGACTGCCCAGGGGGGCAGTGGAGTCTCCTTCTCTGGAGACATTCAACACCCACCTGGATGCCTTCCTGTGTAACATCGTCTAGGTGTTCCTGCTCCGGCGGGGTTATTGGACTAGATGATCTTTCGAGGTCCCTTCCCGTCCCTAACATTCTGTGATTCTGTCTTGTTGTTTGGGGTTTTTTAAAAGAAAATATTGCTAGACATTTTATCCCACAGTGGTGGCGAGATAACATTTTAAAATAACATTTTAGATAACATGAAAAATAACATTTTAAAATAACATTTTAAATAACATGAAAAATAACATTTTCCAACTAAAATTTAAAATCATACATGTATGTAATATATACATAATTATGCATAGAAAAACTGAATTATCTTGGTTAGTTGAAAAACTTGTTTCATGTTAAATTGCTCTTGCTCTACATAAATGTAATCTGTTTTCGTTTTCAGAGCATTACCTGTAGATGTCTTATATTTTTTTATGTGCCTCGTATCTTTTCATACCGATCTAATCTCACTAAACCTGTCTAGATTCTACTGTATTGTATACTCATGAAATTATTCTGTGAGTAATGATGTGACTCATTTTGTCAGTATAACCTTATTCCTATATAAAGCATTTTGAATTGACTACAGAGTTGGTTTTTTAAGCGGCGAAACAGCTCAGTACCAAACCAAGACATACTTTGTCCAGCTGTCTCTTGCCTCACATTTCAATTAATTGTTACAAGATTTGGGGAGCACCAGTAGATGGTGCTGAAGTGCTGCAGAGCATAAAGCGTTTCAAACACACAGGCCTTTCGTGCAGAAGTGAAAAATAATAGAAGTGGCACGTTTCAGTGGCATCTTTTAAGCACCAAGTTAACTCAAGTTGTTTGGTTGGTTTTTTAGTTGAGGAACCGCCACTGCCTGAAGAAATGAATGAAAAAGAAGAGGCAACACTCAATGAAAACTTAGTTGATTTGCATCAGTTTGTACCAGTGGGTGGTGTGTACCATATTGACGCGTTTTATCTTCCACCTCAGGTCAAATATGCCGGGGACTGGAGTATAGTGGAGGTAAGTGAGGAAAGTACATTACACCCCGTGCAGTCCTCTTCCCTGTCTTCCTTGGAGAGCTGTTCCCGAGACACATCATCACCACTCATGTGATTTCTTGAGCAGCAAACTAAAGGACCATTTTTTTTCACAACATTTTTCAATTACATTTCACCAATTTTTGAATCGACCAGGGGGAACAGATGAGCCTGCACTTAAAGAGGTGTGTGCTCAGTCAGTGCTCATCAGCACGAGTAGAGCAGGTTGGTGTGCTGGAAAATGCTCTCAGCCAAAGTAGAAGCAGAAGGAATTTTCTGATATGTGAAAAGTAGACTTGGAGAAGGATGGTAGCAAAATTACTGCCATTCAGTTCCAGGCTCTTCAGGATATTTGAGGACTATGACCAGCATGTTCTGTGGTTTTCCCACTTGCAGTGCTAACCTACGTCACAGTTTTTACTGTGAAGCTGAAAACCTTTAATTTGTGAAATTCCCGTACAAACTAAAAAAGCAGGACTGTGGCCAGAACCATTAACAGCAATAAATTTAAAATGGTGTATTAGGAAACTCTATACTTAAAGAGAAAAAAAGAGGTAGTCTACTGTGTTTTCTAATAAAAATGTTATCTGTCCTTTTCTCATCTTGCCAAAGTTACTTGATGATGGATTGGAGGCATATCCATATCCCCCAGAAGAGAGTAAAGATGGCACGTATCCACCACTACAGACAACCCTTAGGCTCTCTGACCATGTGATGTATTTTAAGGTTCCCATGGTAGCCCGATGGGATCCTGCAGGTATGAAATTAGGACATAAATTCAGTTTAAGTTTGAATAATGGAATTTATACCTGAGTTTGACTTTTTCCAGAATCCACGTGTAAAGATAAGAGCCAGCTCAGAGACCAGAAATCATTTGGGAAGTTCAGCGTTAATTGTTTTGGGGTTGATTTATTTTGTGCATCTCTGATTTATTTTTTTGCATCTTCATCTTGTCTAATAATTAACTGCTTTTTGATATGAATAGAAAAGAAATAAACACCGTCTAATGGGGAGCAGTACAACTGTAGACAGCAAATCAAGTTTTGCTAGCATGAAGCCATGTAAAGTAGTCCCCATTGCACCACATTAGCTCCTAACTACACATTAGCATTAAGTTAAAATATGAAAATTAAATGTTAAAAACAAATTGTGATATTCTAGTTAGTAGATAAATGACTTTGACTTTATCTTCATGAGAGTAGAACCTATTGTAATGGTTAGATGTTTAAAGTTACTCTTGAAAATGAGCTTGTGTACTGCTATGTAGCAAGTAAGAAATGCCAGTTACGTTACATTAGTATATATATTTATTTTGAGATCAAGCAGCAGCTTTCCTGTCAAAATTAGTCCATTAAAAGAGGGGAGATTTTGCCTTGCATGAAGTCTCCTTATTTTCTGCCTAGTATTTCAACTGTGAATATTAGTTAACCTAGAATGTCTTTACTAAATCTTCCCCAGCACATATCACAAGCAGAAGCTCTACAATACACGTCTCCTTGGTTTTTTTGCATTCCTTTTGTAAAGGCCAACAATGGAGAACTGATGGCATCAGCAACATAATGTATGAAGCACAAGAAAAGCGTATCACTTTCGAGATGGATGCCTTTTATACAATAGCACTTCTTGAGGATGCTCATCTCAGCATGCCCTACCAGGCATGGGAACTGCGACCTACTGCTATGGATGAAGCACTCCTTACAGTTACTACAGCCTTTGCAACAATTCAGATACAAATTAAGGTACTGAAATAATTTTCTTTAAATATCTGCAGATTAAAGAAGAAAAAAATACTCTAGTAAGTCCTTTATTAAGAACTTGGGATTATTCCATAAGACCAGTTAGAATCTCACTCTGCACTGGTGAAAAGAAGGGAGGATCTATTCCTTTCCAAGCACTGTAAGCATCAGTACTGGTTGTTAAATTTATTTTCTGTGAACTAGTCAGAAGAAAGCATACATACAATTGTAGTGCAAAGTTCCAGTCTGATACTGATACTACCTTACTTAATTTAAGACTCTTTCACCAGCTAAATACTTAAAAATTGTTCCTTTCTCCTCCTAAGAAGTCCAAGAGAAATAAAAGCAACCTACTAATGCTAGCTGTTCCTTCTAGAGGCTGAAGTTACACATGGTTATCCATATGCTCATTGCTATATAAATCAGTTCAATAACAGACATGACTTTTGAAAGTCAGTATGAGCACAAACATGGGCCAGTAGACCCATGTCATTTCTGGAATTCTAGAGAAGTGGCTTTCTTCCATTATCCATGAATGAAAGTTTACAGCCTAGAGTGGTAGATAATGTATGCAGCATCCAGACTAGCAAAGATATTAATATTTGATGCCTGAAGCAGAAAATAGCTTTCGTGACCAGTAAGTTGCTTTCGCTGGTTTCTATAACAGGATAATCAGTGTATGTTGTCCTCAGTAGTGGTGGAAGGGAAGGATGTGCTTTCCCACCTCACGGGAAAATGGAGAAGTCCAGTTGACCTAAGAACAGTTCTGAAAAAAGCTGGTGTGAATATTTTTCCAGGAGAGTATTCTCACAAGTATGTCTCTGTGAACAAGAAGGTGAGTGGAAGAGTGAATGGTTTTCCTGTTGTTTTTTTCCGCCTCTTTCACTTAGACGATGTTTTCTTACATGAAGGTTTGCTATGCAGAATAAGGTGGGAAGTATACAAGCGTTCTGACAGCTTAGGCAGTAAATGCTGGTTAAAGCAAGCTTTTACTTACACTTGTGTAAACATAGAGAAAACTATATGGATATATTTTATATATGGGTGGGGTTTTTTCCCTTACTTTGTACTTTTGCATTACAGTCTGCCCTAGGGGAAGTTAGGGCCTATCAACAGATGGCGCTGGTTGCATCTGCTTTTGCTTTTGCCCGGAGCAAGTGGAATCTAGAAGCAGGTCAAGAGCAGGTAGTGTTCAAGGTATGCGGATTTAGACTAAACTTGTAGAGAAAACCAGCATAGAACTCTAGCACAGTTAAAGAGACAAGCAATTAACTTCTATACGTTACACTAATATCAACCTTTGTCTTCAACATCTGTCTACACACTTAGTGAACCAGTTTTAAAATTTAGGATTGACTGCTCAGCAGCTTTCAGTGCATGCTGCTAAAACTTCAGAGCTTTTTCACAGCTCCTGCATTTGTGAGATCTCTCACAGGACGCCAATCTCAGTAACAAAGACACTTGCTAATGTGCTAGGATGTATAGCTGATAGGTCAGCTGCCACAATTTTGGCCAAAGCTGCAATGATATAACTGGATGCCGATTTTAATGAAGTATTCCACTGTAGGCATCCTATGAATAGCAATCTAATTTGCAACTTTTGTAATTAGTATCAGGAAACTTCTCTATGGCATTTCATTTGTTCCCTACTGTAAACAAGGAAATAAGCATCGATTTGTTTCTGTTGGTGAACTAACACACATGTGGTTAAAGCTTTTCCCAGAGAGACTAAAAAATACTCTCAAGCTGTGCCTATAGAGACAACACACATCTTGATGATGAAATTTTGAGCAGCTCTCCTCTCAAGTTCAATGCATGTGACATACAAGCATTTAGCCCAATACTAAATCCCAGGAGCAGAAACTCAACTTAGACACAAAGAGCTAATATTGGGTTAGGAGTTTAAAGCAGGGCCTTAGTTTTGTTTCTGTATTACACTCTGCATACTAGAAGTTACACTATCATGGGCTTCATCTTAAAGCACATGTTTTTCTGTAATAGGTAAGAGAGCATCTTCAAGTAGTTACTCTGAAAGATGAAGACTGGTCTCTTTATATGTTCAATGGTCATAAAGCACAAAAGCTTAAGATGACTGAAACCAGTGAAACTTTTTCAGAAGAGCTAGAAGAAGATTCTGAGTTTCACTCCACACTCTACCATATGCTCAAGGACTTTGCCAGCAAAGAAGCTATAGATAAAGTAGAAACAGCTAGCTTCCTATTTGTTGATGTTGTGTATCAGCTACTCCTTGCTACAAGAGTCTTAACATACTCTTAGAGCATGCGCTTTCCTTCTAAACTTTGTCATCAAAAACATTCAATAAAGCTACGTGCCAAGCCTCGAAATCTTTTTCTGTTGGAATCATTGGAACAGCTTCAATGACTAAAATGCAAATATTTTATTTTTTTTAAAGCACACAACTTAGCTATTTTGAACATAGCTAACAAAAAACTGACTGTTTTATTGTAAACCTGAATGGACCTGAGACCCTTTTAGATACTCGTAAAGATGAGTTTTGTCAGAGTGGTGGAAGTTGGGAGAAATAATTCCATTTCAAGTCATGCTTCAAAGAGAAAAACAACAAAAACAACAAAACAACCCCTAACAGGTAACCTTAAACATCTCAGCTGCTCATGCCATCATCCAGAACTAGAAGTCTAACTACACAAGTCAGAGCCTTTGTTATACTGGGGGTGGTCCATAGTGTTGAAGTCTTGTATATGGCGACAACAGTTGCTGTAGTAAAGTCCAGTAGTCCCAAGTTCCTACAGGTGCTGCATCCACTGGTCTTTGAAGAGACAGCCCAGTAAGGAAGCTGGTGAGAGCAGCAAGCAGTACCAGGATGGAAACAGAAGCCCAGTGAGTTTTGTTGGCGTTCAAAAGAGAAGTCTTGAAATGGGATACCCACGATGACATTAAATTGCACCTGCACGGAAGAGTAAGTCGTAGAGTGGTTCAGTTTTTCCTTCAAAACTTGGAAGCGCTCTTCCCACCTCACAAACATACAGATCTCTATCAAAAGTGACCAGGTTGTTACTGTATTGGGAGCTATGTAGAGAGGTAGCTTGTGTTCTGGGTTTAAAATGCTTACCAAGAACTTGCTTACTGTAGTCTGCTATTTAGATGGCTGACCCAAGTCATAGCTCCCACAGTCCCTGTACCACACACTGTCTCTGAAGAGGCTTCGCAATAGCTGCCTTGCAGATAATCAGGAAATCTTGCTTCCTGTACTGGCCTCTATGTTTTATTGTTTTTTAGCGCTTTGCTCCCTGCCTTGGTGTTAAAGGAGAAATCTTACCCTCACTGACTGTCCGAATACTAGACCTCTCATGACAGTGGGTACCTCCATCTTTCCTCAAACAATAGATTAAAAAAAAAAAGTTTTTTGTTCTTGCTGTCTTCTCAGCTTTACACACTAGCATAAAAAAAGCAAAGGAGTCCAGGAAGACTGAGCACTCTTCAAGAAGGAAGTCTTGAAGGCACAGAAAGAGGCTATCCCCATGCCCAAAAGATGGGTTGGCAGGGAAGATGACCAGCCTGGCTCAACAGAGAGCTTTGAGTGGAACTTGGGAACAAGAGGAGAGTTTATCCTTTGGAAAAGGGTGCAGGCAACTCCGAACTACAAATAGACAGTGAAGCTATGCAGGGAGAAAATCAGAAGGGACAAAGGCCAACTGGAACTAAATGTGGCTATTGCTATAGAAAACAATTTAAAATGCTTCTATAAATAGATTAACAACTACAGGAGGACTAGAGAGAATCTTCCTCGTTTATTGAATGCAGGAGGAAACACAGTGACTAAGGATGAGGAAAAGGCTGAGGTACTTAATGCCATCTTTGCCTCAGTCTTTAATAGCAGGACTTGTTTGCTGAGTATCCAGCCCCTTTGAGGGACAGGGAATAGAATGAGACCTCCGGAGTCCAAGAGGAAATGGTTAGCGATCTGCTGCATCATTTAAACATAGACAAGTCTATGGGGCCAGATGGGTTACACCCAAGAGTGCTGAAGGAATAGTAGGTGGATATGCTCACCAAATCACTCTTCATAATTTATCAGCAGTCCTGCTGATGGGAGAGATCCCAATGAACTGGAAATTAGCAAATGTGACACTCATCTACAAGAAGGGCTGCAAGGAGGGATGCAGGAAACTAGACACCTGTTGGTCTGACTTCAGTGCTGGGGAATATCATAGAAAAAAAACCTGAACATTAAATACCATCTACAGGACAAGGTGACTATCAGACTCAGTCAACACAGGTCCTGCTTAATGAACTTGACCTCCTTCTATGCCAAGGTGACCCACTTGATGGATGAGAGAAAGGCTGTGGATGTTTTTTACCTGGACTTCAGTAAAGCCTTCAATAATGCTTACCACAGAATTCTCATGAAAAAAACCTGTCTGCTCAAGGCTTGGACAGGTGTACACTCTGCTGGATCAAACACTGGCTAGACAGCTGGGACCAAAGAGCAGTGGTGAGCAGAGTTAAAATCCAGTTGGCAACTGGTCACAAGTGGTGTTTCCCCAGTGCTCAATGTTGGGGCCACTCCTATTTAATACCTGTATTAATGATCTTGACAAGGAGATTGAGTTGAGAGCACCCTCAGTAAGTTTGCAGATGAGAAAGATGGAGTATTGACCTGCTCAAGGATAGGAAGACTCTTCAGAGGGACCTGGACGCATCAGATCTGTGGGCTGAGGCCAACTGGATGAGGTGCAACAAGTCCAAGTGCCAGGTCCTGCACTTCAGTTGCAAACCACCCCACGCAACACTACGGGGTTCAATAGGAGTGGCTGGAAAGCTGCCCTCCTGAAAGGGAAATACGGGTGCCAGTGGACAACCAGCTGAAGATGAGCCAGCAGTGTGACCAGGTGGCCAAAAAGACCAACAGCATCCTGACTCACATCAGGAGTAATGTGGCCAGCAGGACCAGGGAAGTGATCATGCCCCTGTACTCAGCACTGGTGAGGCTGCACCTTGAGTACTGTGTTCACTTTTGGGTCTCTCAGTACAAGAAGGACACTGAGGTGCTGGAGTGTGTCCAGACAAGAACAATGAAGCTGGTAAAGGGTCTTGAGAATAAGTCTTATGAGGCTTGGGGTTGTTTAGCCTGAAAAAAAGGAGGCTGAGGAGACCTTATCACTGTCTAGAACTAACTGAAAGGAGAGTGTAGAGAGGTGAGTGTTGGTCTCTTCTCCCAAGCCACAACTAGTAGGACAAAAGGAAATGGCCTCAAGTTATGTCAGGGGAGGTTTAGGTTAGACATTAGGAAAAACTTCTACACTGAAAGGGTTGTCAAAGACCAGAACAGGCTGCCCATGGAAGTGGCTGAATCTCTATCTTTGCATGTATTTAAAAGCCATCTAGATATGATGCTCAGGGGCAGTTTTAACAATGGACTTGGTAGTTAGATAATGGTTGGCATTTATGATTTTAAAGGTCTTTTCCAGTCATAATGATTCTTTAATTGTCTTGTCTCCCTCTTGATCAGGAATTCTCGCAGTGGAGTCTTAGCATTGTATATTCATGTGGAATAAACAGTTTCTCTGCAGAGACAGCAGACCTCATTTCCTGTAAAGCAGGAGCTTCCAAGGGATACTTGTTTAGGACAGCACTCTCTTCCTTGACTTGAGATATTCAGAGAAATTAGCTGAAATGGTCTGGAGTTAGTCTTGATCGCTACTTATATGTAAGTGTCTGCCAAAGATGCTAAGTTTTGTACAGATCTGAAATCCTTGATCATGTTTACAAGAACACATTAGCATCACCTAGCAGCCCAGTTATAACAGCTATCACGGAGTAACCAAAAAGAGGTGAGGTCATCTCATGAGGCTCCTCTTTACCTCCCAATCTAGGATTAGTAAGGAGTCCCTGCACCTGTGGTTACTCCTTCCCAGTCAGTTTAACAAGTGGGCCTTAACAACAAAACCAAAGCAACAGCTTTCCTTCCTCTTCCCATGTCCATCATCCAAACATTGCTTTACCTCACAATGATGTGACAAAAGAAAAAAACAAACACTAAAAAACCAAACCCTAAACAAAAAGCCACCAAACACACTTACACTGATGCTAGGTTCCATTTTGATGGAATTTTCCCTTTTTCAGAGATACTTTCCTTCCTGGATGGTGCTTCTTGTACTTGAGCAGGTGATTCTGACTGTTCATTTCTGTAAAGCAAACATCAACAGTTCCAAAGCTTTTCTACCAAGCATTTAGTTTGGTAGTGCTCACAAAAGCTTGACTTTACAACTCTGATCAGGTGGTGGACAGTTAAGAGTTGGTTAAAACAAACCAACCAACACACACACACACAGCACCAGAGAAGGTTGCTGTCAAACTTACTTTGTTTCAGAACGTTCATCTTCATACTCTGCCCAGGAATATGTGCTCACGCACCGCTGTAGTGGACGCTTTTCATTTTGCTTTGCTCCCACTTTTCCCCTTTCAAATTTTAAACAAAGTTCACTTTAATTTCCCCATCAGATACACAGCAGGAAATTAGAAATTCAGCAGCCTACTTGAGTAGGCCTTAGACATACAAGTTTCAAAACCAGTTGCCTGAAATTAGGATTTTTGGTGGGGTTTTGTTGTTTTTACAAGCAAAATCCATCAGTGCCAGCTGCCTAGATCCAATTCAACATATTCTAATTCAAGTATCCTAGATCTAATACAAGAGAGCAGAGGTAAATTTGTTCTTTTAAAACTTGCTATAACATTAGTCATGAAGGCTCATTTACCTATTGAAGTGTGTAAAATTGATGCGAAGGATGCAGCCTAATTGTTATTATATCTCAAGATCCTCCATGAACTGTACTTGTATTAAGCATCTTATGTTGAAAGTTTAACCCTGTTCAAAGATAAGCCCGAACAACTTTACCAACTGCTTGACCTCCTGTTGAATTTATCACTCCGCTCATCTGCATCAGGTTCATGGAGCTGGGCCTAGAGAAAAAGTTTGATGTGTTTACTGCATTGGCATTTTCATGCTTCAGCCCAGCCAGTTTTGAGAAGGTTAAGCACCTCACCATCTGAGAACCTTTACTTACCAGCAGCAACCCAATACCTGCATTTCCAGCACTCCTAGGCAATGTCGCAATGCTAAATCTTCGTAGGGATGACGATGGCTGTACAAATAAGAGGCATTACTGACTCTTACCAAGGAATTTCTGGATTACTCATTGATCATATAAAAGACCATCTGTTCTTATACAAATGGTATTTTAAAAATAACTAAATGTGTTGATACTTAGCTTAAAGTGACATACAAGAGTCAAAGCTTAAGCACAGCCCAAACCATATTCTTTAAAGTGGCATTTTTCTAAATTAACTTTTTTCCCCTGCTGAAACTGGCTACACAGCTTCCAGCGAAATACTGAAACTGAATGTGTCTAAATTCCTCTAATGGTGCTCACAGGAATTTCTACAGTCAGTTTGAATTGCTCCCATCTATTTTTTTTCATCTTTCTGTGCTAAACCCTTCTTCTGTAGCCCCCCCAGTGAGAACTACATGTGAACAATATTTCTTAACCATTGCAGGAGAATGCAGCCATTTCAGCTTCTCTGAACACTTTGTTCTTTAAGTAGGACTACACATAGCTCCCTCAGGTTGGTGGGGGAAGGTTGGAGTGACTGAAAAATATATTCTTGTGTTTTATGACATCAGCCCGTATTTGAGACTGGAAGCTAGCAAGCCAAGCATGTAGCAGAGCACCAGCACATGACAAAGCAAAACAAAGATGCAAACATACGCTTTAAAAACAGACTTGAAATTTCATGTTAGGCTGTAAGGACTGTTTACCTTAAAAGGATTTGATAGCTTTCTATTCATAGATTCATCTGTGAAGAGATCAAACATCAGAAGGCCTTACAGGAATGCAGTGAGCTTTATTTACAACTAAAGGTCTGACTTTTTGCAGTATCTGTTTAAGCAGAGTATATCAGAGTACTCTCACAAAGAAAAAATGAGTTTTCAGGAACAAGCTTTCTGTTTCACTAGATAAGGTCATAATATTCACACATTATACATCCTCTACAAGCACCAATTTCTGTTGCTGTAATTCAATGTATTCTTCTATTATTGAGGCAGTATCCCGTTACAGAACAATCAGAAACAGTCAGGAAGTAATAGTCTGTGTTTTAGAAGGCTCCTGCAAGGATTTTAATGACGTGCAAGACTGCCCTTCCTGGTTTTAAGTTAACACACTATTTCCCAGACAAATTTAATCCTTCCCTGGCAAAGCCATAAGTGCACAGCACCATTTGGAAGCCTGACCACTGTGTCATCTGCTTAAAGGGAGGAACTCAGAGCACCTGCACATAAGGAGTCTGTAAATTCGTATTTAGAGCAGAGCTTGAAGCATCTGCAAACAAAAGTCAAAGCTCAGCTACGTAGAAATAGCTACTGGGAATGCTCCAGTGTGAGTGAGCACCCAAATTCACTGCTTACAAGGAATAAGATTATCACCACATACAATGCACTTCTCTAAAAGCCAGAACATTACTGCATACTGTAAATGTTCCCACACACACCCCTCAAGATTCATGACAGTTTACATAAAAGTCTAATTTCATAGTTTTTTCTAATACTGTTGGTAAATTGCTATTTTTCATCTATTTTTAGGAAGGAAGATATAATCCCTCCACCTAATGCATTAAGCTTCAGCTAGATAAGGGTTTATCTGGCAGGTGCTAGAAAGACGACAAAGCGGCTTTTCTTAGTTACCTCGATCTCCAAGAGAGCTAAAGGATCTCTCATTCTGGAGCAGGACCTGTTTCAGCTCCTCAAGTTCTGCGTGTTCTTTTGCATACATGCGCTTCAAGTTTTCCACGTGCCGAATCATTACTTCCACAGCCTTGCTGACATGGCTTTCCTAACACAGCAAGTGCATCAGTAGTAGGAAAAGTGTCTGAGGAACTGCATCGTGTTTAGAGTTTAAGACTTTTTCCTCCCACAACCATCTGCTCTTATCTTGAATCACCATGACGCAACATCCTCTCATTTTTGTCCACCTTTTCAAAGTTTTGCTACAGCCCATCTCCCAACACACACCCAAGTTAACAGGTCTCATTGTTCCAATGATTTCTCTCCTCTTATCCTAAAATAAGTAAGTCTTAATTTTCTGAGCCCTTACAACTCCTCTTCATCTCTTTCTCCAAGTCTCAGTTGCCACCACACATTTGCTAGTTTTGCCAAGTCATATTTTCATGCATTATACACAATTATACAAAACATTTGAGCAGGTCTTTGTAAATATCCATAAGTTTAGCTTGTTAGCTGTCCTTTCCATAGACCAAAATTACTATTAGCTCATTCAGTCTATTGTTACCACATTGCATTCTTGCGTGCTCTACTGTGCGCATCCCTCTGACGCAAAGCTTTTTCTGGAAATTTTGTTTGTATAGGGTTTTTTGTATGTTTGTTTTAAATCAGGACCATATTACTGCTGTGTGTTTTGCACAATGCTAGTGCAATGTAGCTGCTCTGACAGTGCCTAAGATTCCTTATAACACAAAACAGTGATCTGAGAAGAGAAAACCAGGACTAAGCTCTACTGGTCAGTCTGCATTACATGCACGAGAAACCTAATTCTGGAATCAGAAGCTTAACAAACAGGTACCACCATCCCTTCATGTCTGTAGAAGCTTTTAACTTTGTACAAAATACATTTATGTGGAAAGAGTTACCTGATTAATAGCTCCCAACATCTCCGCTCTACTGGCAACCTGGGCTGCGTACTGGCTAAGGAACTGCAGGCTTTTCCACAACTTCTTAATTATCTCCTCTGCTTGGTTATCTTCTTCACACAAAGGACCTAAAGCCTAGGGGGCATGTGGGAAGGAAAACAGTGTGAGCTATTAGGTAAAGAAACAACCCAACTGGTCACACTGAGGGGGTTGCATTCAGGCCTACACAGTCAAAAAATCTGCATCCAACCTCCTCAGTCAGCATAACTTGAGTGCAGACCTCCAGTGGGCAGAGACTGCAGCTTAACAAGCATAAAATCAGATATTGACAAAGGTTCTTGCCCAACAGCTGTGCAACAGAAAACTTCCCCACTGTTGGACAGAAAGTATGCTTAGATGAAATCTGGTCTTCAACAGCAAAGTCTCTTGTATTCCATGTGCACCACTTAAGCACTTAATTCAGATTTGCTTATAACAGGTTACAAACACACAAATCCTAAGAAAAAGCTATATCGAGGGACACTGTCACAGCCATTCATCCCATCAATCCCACCAGTCTTGGCCAATACTAACCTCTAATATCTTTAGAGCATTTGTGATCTCCTTTTTCAAATTTTCTTCAGCCAAGTCTCGGGACCTTTTTTCAAGCCTCACTCTCTTGTCCAAAGTAAACAAGTCACACTTAAAACCCAAAGACAACCTCAGAAATTCAGCCTATTGTGGGATATGAAAAGATTTCAGGATAATCCAAGTGATGCAGAAGCTTTTTGTAGTAGATCTGGATGCTGACATGACATTTGGGACTGCAGCCCATGAACAAAGTTATAGGACAGATACAAAAAGAAAAGCAAACATGGCCCACTTCCACAAAACCAATCTTCCCGTCTGTAGTGGTGGGGGAAATAATCTGCAGCTAGAATAGATGATATCCTGGCAGCATGCAGCGTGCCATCTGTGTCTTTTAGCAAAACTGTCTTAAATCAGCACGTTCTGCCTGCGGGGAGGTCATAGCTATGCTACTTCAAGCTTCAAAATAAATGTTACAGTAGTGAGAAATTCTTTTTTTTTTTTTTTTTCAGTTTTACAGATTCCCACCTTTTCCCATCCCACCCCTTCCAGAACTTCCATTTGGCTCTGAAAGACAGATTTCAGAAGCCAGCTTATAGAAACACATCCATTTTATGCTACTCAGCATAAAACTCTTTGACATAGGACAAGATCTTTGTGTTGTCAGAGATACCTAAGGATACAAGCAGCTGGAACTTACCTCGACTTCTTTCTCATTTGGGAAGTCACTGTAGGATAAGAAGAAGTAATCATGTAACAGACTGCAGCTTTAAATTCATACCTGCAGGTGATCATTGAAAGCCACACTTACAGCTCATTTTGCTTTGTTTTATCTCCTTTAATGCCACCTGCAGCGGGTGAACTCCCTGAGAAGAGGGGAAAAAGAAGTTCTCAGACAAAAGCAGAAAAACTAGCCTCTCAAAAACAGCTTGTGAAAGTCTTTTAAACTCCAACAGAAGCCGTTGGTTAAAAATTTCCAGTGTTAAGCTCTTGACAATAAAAGCAACTTGTGTACCTCAGTTAGAGCATCAGAAAGACAGCACAGTACTATCCTTTATATAAAGCCCAAAAAGTTAGTTGTTTAGCTGGCTTCACCTGGCATCTAATTAGTATAGGAATGTTTAATTATAGGTTTGGGGTTACATCCACAGCCCATAGATTCAGGCTGTTACATGACTTAGTACATCACTAACTTCCAGTGAACTCCAAAAGCAAGAGGTGAGGTGTCTGGAAGAGTGGAAATGTCTAAGCACAGTTCAGTAGATACACTATCTTGTTTATCTAGATGATATTACCCCAAGCTCTATCTAGCACAGAGGATGCTGTTTACAGATCTTTGGGAAGGGCAGGCATATCAGAACTGTTTCAGATATCTCAACTCCTTTGCGACTTGTAAGAAGTTTTCCCTCCTGTCCAGAGGAAGACAGAGCCAATGAAATCAATATCTGTAGGAAACAGAGCAGCAGATTTTGCATGATAACATTTTCCTTCTCTCTGGTGCTAGTCCTTTCTGACCTCTAACTGTAGCTGCTATTCCTTAAAACAAACCCCCTTCAAATAATTGGCGTGGGGTAGGCAGCTCTTTGCACCTCTTCACCCAGATCTTGACCCAGATGATTAAGCCCTGCTCTCCAGTGAGTTATGTGAATGTATCCCACAAAAACCTCTTACCTTTCCTACTGGAAACCACAGCTTGTCCTTCCTGACTCCGCTCTTTATGATTTTTCTTTTCCTGGTCCACCTCCTAAAGGCACAGAAAGCAGTTAGAGCACGTGAGCAGCCCCAACACCAAGAGGATCCTGTTCCCTCTCACAGTATTTTTCTTTGCCACAGCTCAGCCAAGTCAGCTCTATGTTTCGCTGCCACTAGGACTCTTACCACGTCTTGCTTTAAAACATTTTGAAATGCGTTTTTGTCTTCTTCCATCATAGGACAGAATTCCTTCTCAATCAGATCTGCTCCTGTGGAGAAATATTCCCAAAATCAAATGTAAGGATAAAAACAAAGCAAGACTTCAACACCCAGCATACTAGACACAGGCCAACAAGACTAAAAGAAACTGCAGTAAATGCCAGGAGAAAGCATTAAGAAGGAGAGGCAACAGCAAATAACACGATAAAGTCATAGAGGAAAAAGTACGATAATTTTGCTTGGCTTGGAAAAAGTTCTATTAAGAAGTGTTACGTGCCTGCAGGTGAGAATATTACTCCTGGTTGTAGTTGTTCCAGCTGAAGTTGCAAGAGTTACAGTAACATTCATTTGGATAAATTAATTTCATTATTTTGCCACCAGCATGTTTTTAGCCATGTTTTTCTGTTTGTCTGATTGCTCTTTACGGAGGCAGTTTATAATTATTTGGAATTCCATAAGCACAGGAATATGTAAATAAAAAGAATATATTCCATGCAAAAACTAACAGGACAAGTGATGAGTATTTGTAATTCTCTTCTTTCACTTTATAAAATATCAGGCAAAGTCAAGAAAATGATGCTACTTCAGCTGCTGTTACAGAGGAGGTTGAGCACAACCAGATCATGAAATGCATGCAGTTGTGGTATTTCAGTTGTCCATAAAGCTTTAAACACAGTCTGCCACTTGGATCATCCTTTGAACCTAAAATCTGAGCTAGCAGGGTGCTGAGAGAGTCAGAATAACTCTTTCCTGGAAGATGAACTGATAAGTTCAGGAACTGATGATCCCAGTTTGAACTTTTAAGTGCCACAGTCCAAAAAAAAAAAAAAAGTTTTAAATCAGGCAAAAATAACCACCAGGAAAACAGCTATTACAAAGATTTTAAAAGGAAAATGTTTAAGAAACTGAAGGAAGTGGGTCACACTAATTTCTTGTGTAGCAGTAACTCTGGTAGCTATTTATACATTTTAGAACATCCAGATATTTTTTTGGGCTGTTTATGTAGTCATACACCCCTACAAAGATGCAAACCAAAAGAAGTGGCACAACAAGAAGCTTCAAATCTGAAGTGTTTTCACTTTTCATCCTTCACATTAACACCCATCTCTCCTTAGCACTTCCTTTAGTCCCAGCTGATTTTTGCAGCAGCCCTACGTATCTGACCTGGCAGGCTCCCAAGCAGAAGAAATTCACAGAATCACAGAATGTTAGAGGTTGGAAGGGACCTCTAGAGGTCTTCTAGTCCAGGCCCCCTCCCGGAGCAGGATCACGTACAGTAGGTCACACAGGAACGCGTCCAGGTGGGTTTTGAAAGTCTCCAGAGAAGGAGACTCCACAACCTCTGTGGGCAGCCTGTGCCAGGGCTCTGTCACCCTCACAGTGAAAAAGTGTTTTCGAATGTTTTTGTGGAATCTTCTATGCTCCAGCTTGTATCCATTGACCCTTGTCCTATCATTGGATGTCATTGAAAAGAGCCTGGCTCTGTCCTCCTGACACTCCCACTTGACATATTTATAAACATTAATGAGGTCACCCCTCAGCCTCCTCCAAGCTAAAGAGCCCCAGCTCCTTCAGCCTTTCCTCATCAGGGAGATGTTCCACTCCCTTCATCATCTTTGTGGCTCTGCACTGGACTCTCTCCAGCAGTTCCCTATCTCTCTTGAGCTGAGGGGCCCAGAACTGGACACAATATCTCAGATGTGGCCTCACTAGGGCGGAGCAGAGGGGCAGGAGGATGCCTCTCGTCCTGCTAGCTACTCCCCTTCTAATACACCCCAGGATGCCATTGGCCTTCTTGGCCACGAGGGCACATTGCTGGCTCAAGGCCATCCTGCTGTCCACTAGAACCCCCCAGGGTCCCTTTCCCCTACGTTGCTCTCCAGCAGGTCAGTCCCCAACCTGTACTGGCACATGGGGTTGTTCTTTCCTGGGTGCAAGACTCTACATTCGCACTTGTTGTATTTCATAATATTTCTCCCTGCCAAACTCTCCAGACCGTCCGGGTCTCTGAATGGCAGCACAGCCTGCTGGTGTGTCAGCCACTCCTCCCAGTTTCATGTCACCAGCAAACTTGCTGACAGTGCTCTCTAATCCCTCATCCAAGTCACTGATTGAACAGCACTGGTCCCAGCACTGACCCCTGAGGGACCCCACTAGACACAGGCCTCCAACTAGGCTCTGCCCTATTGATTACAACTCTCTGACTTCTTCCCTTCAACCAGTTCACAACCCACCTCACTACCTGATCATCTAGACCACACTTCCTCAGTTTAGCTACAAGGATGCTGTGGGAGACTGTCAAATGCTTTACTGAAATTGTGTGGAAGTAGCAAAAGCCACAAATGGAGATTCATCAGCATCTCCGTTCTAACACCAGAAACACTTTCTATTCAGAATTAGCAGCAGGAGTCTCAGGCTTCAAAGCTACCTGGACTCTTCCTGACGTGTTTTGCACATCTGTTTCCTCCTCGCCAAAGACACCTAAACCTCATACAAAAATTGAGAGCAGAGACAAATTATGTTTAAGTGAAAGGACTGAATTGGAAAGGTAGTATTAAAGAAACAAACCCAAACAAGAAAGGATGACAAAATATCTTGTATTGAAGTAAAGGTTACAAAGGTTACAAACAAGTGTATACACGTAGCCTTTACTGCTTGTTCGGATGAGCTATTTTTTTAAAAAAAAATAGCTTAAAAACATTGTGTACACATAGTCCAGTTTTGGTTTTAGTTTTTAAGTGGCAGAAGCATCTTCAAATCTGGTAAGAATTTTTCTGAGTGTTTACAGCTAGAGCAAAAGACAGAACAAATGCCTCTATCCTCATTTATCCTTTTTACTCATCCCAGCTTCTTTGTGCACTGAGCTTTGGTTTTAAGAGAGAAGAAAACATTTAGTCTAGCTGTGTCACTAAGCTTTTTAAAACCACAAAAAAAAAAAGCATTCTCTCTACTCCTAAAATTGCCAGGTGTTTAGTACCCACACAATGTCTTGTCAGCGAAGCAAGCATCAAGATTTCACTCCATTATTTCATGTTTATCTCTTGCAGTACAACCAGCCTCCTGTAGGCAGTAAGGCCTTATTCCTACTCAGAGGTTTATGGAGGGTTGAGAGTACTTGCAGGTAAAAGTGTGTTCAACAACAGAAAAATCACAAGTCATTTTTATTTCTCACTCTTCTTCCTCACTTAAGATGTGCTGAGAGCAAACCATTTCCTCACTGACAGCCTGCTGCAGCAATTACTGTACCTGATGCAAGACCAGCCAGATCCTTATTGCAGTTTTCCTCCATTGCTACAGAAGTTGGCACATCTTCTCTTTCACACGAGCTTTTTTGTGATTTTCCCTCTGTAACAAGGCAGCCTGTAACATCAGGAAACAGAAAACGGTGCTCTTACTGTTCAGTGAGCGCTCAGAATTCCGTATATCTATTTCCAAGACTTTCTGTGCAAAAGATCAATACATCTGTGCCCCAAAGTAAGGGCCTACCTGTTACTGGTGTAGTGCTTTCCAAAGAGGTTGTGAGAACTTCTTGGGGTGAAGTTAAGCGGTCACTGCCAAAATAAAATTCTTTCAGATACTCATCCATATTACCCAATCTTGACAGAGGCTTTTAAAAGCTTGCACAAAACCTGACCTGGATGGGAACAGACTGGCTGGTAGTGCTGCCTCTCCACAGTCAATCTTAATGGAAAGAGAGAGGATTTCATTATCAGGGAAAGGGTTGTGAGTAAAAAGTGTGTACATCAGTTTTAATAATTCGCCTAGCTGTGTCCAAATTATTTCAGCAGCAAAGAACTGGATGGTAAGTACATGCAGATTCATCTGCTAGTCTAAAGCCACCCACACATACATTATGTATGTTAGCATGTTATCATTAGAAACAACCAGGTTTCTAGAGAAATTTTGTCTCAGAAATATCATACTTAGAGATGCATTTTCATTCCTGATCTCACGTTTTACTCCTAACACTTATTTTTAAATGACCAACATACACATCACTACATCACTGTTCTATCTTAATGCTGTTCATGAAGATATATTAATTTTCAAGGTCTTGACCTCAAACCCTACAAGTGAGGTACACAGGGCTTCACCAGGCTGTAGAATTGTTTAGGTAAATAAAAGCATTACTATTAAGAGATCAACCAAGCAGATGACTCAGAATGCAGAAAACTTGCATATTGTGTTGCACATTTTAGCATCTGTCTTTGAATGACACTCGTTTTCAATACATCACATAACGATTATCCAGCCACTTCAGAAGGCTTCAGCCCTCCTCCTTTTTATGCCAACAGCAGAGAGAAATTCAGCAGTTCAAGGCTGATACGTAGTTTTTGCTCATGTTCCTTTAGCCACTACAGTGCGGTTTTGGACCCGAGCCTTATTACATCAAGACAAAACCAGCATCCTTTAAAATCTTTTTCATTCAATATCTCTCTTGCCATATTAAAATATCCCTGAATAACTCCCACTTGCTTATTCAATTGATAGATTGTATCTCTTTATAGGTGAAAATACAGGATAAAACATTTTTAAAGTGTTGTCAGTAATCACGTGTGATGAACTCCATCCACAGCTGAAGAGGAGTACTAAAAAACTAAACAAAAACTAACACCCAAAAACACCCCAAAAAACCCACAGCACAGAACTACAAGCCACACACAAACAAAAACCTCAGAAAAGTCAAACACAAACCCCAAATCTATCTCCAAGCAGAGAAGGTATGAGGCTAGTCAGCATTCAGGTTCCAGTATCCCCCCTCCCCCCAAAAAATGTCCTCAGAGGACTCAGGAAACCCAGCAAAACAGAAAAAGAGGTGACCAAGGCCCCCACTCACTTCCGTAAGGAGCAAACTGCTCCCACATCAGGAAGTGCCGTCTCTCTCTGTCTCTCCTCTTAGCCACCCATTGGAGCTCAGCTGAACTCAGAGAGTCTTGCCCCAGCCAAATGGATGTTTCCTCTAGTGCAAATCCACAATATTTTTATTCCTATTTGAATTCTATATTAAGCTGAAGGAAGTACAGCACCACTTTTACCTTGTTCGGGCCAT